AAAAAAAAAAAAAAAGCAGCAGCTGGAAACCCAAACATTTTCTGACTGGTTTTATTGGGTTTAAGGAATTCTTAGAGAAAAAGAGTTAAAGGTATAGTGCAGATATTTTTCTTTTAAGTAGGGTTCTGTGAAAAGGTGATGAACAATCAATATCTTACCTGTTCTGGATAGATTTTTGAATGGCTAACCTGAGCATGATCAAGACCAGAATGGATTTTTGTAGTTTTAACCAACTCCATCGTTTTCACAGTTAATTGTTATTTTGGCAAAGTTAGATGATATTCCAGCTTGGAAAGCTGCGCTACAGCTAGCTTGCCACAGAATTCTATGTAAATAAGTGTCATTCGAAGTCGATGACGTAAAGATTTATAATATATCTGCATGAACCACTGAAGTTTYTGAGATTGGAGCTGTTTAAAGACTGCGGATAATCCCCTTTTTGTCTCTGCTTCACTCAGATTAGCTGTTAGCTTACTTGTCTGTTGAGGATTAAACTCTAGGTGGTGTCTGACTGAGCTGCGACTAGATTAGGAAAGCAAAATTGTGAGAAAACGGACAATTTTTTTAAATTGCAGTTTTGCTGAATTCTGAATATTTGCGACCAGCAAGCTGCGCCGACACATTCAGAAAACTACAGCTGTTTTTGCGTGCACGAATTGTAAAACTACTCTCGTCTGGGCTCATCATTTTATTGCCCACGTTATTCTCATCTGAGTTCGGTTCGTACCCTCCTCAGCAGACGACCCTACATTTAGACTGAAGKTTTTAAATCATTATAAATCGTGTTTTTGTTTTTACCTGGATCTGTTCGAGCCTCCTGTGCAGGTTTCAAAATAAAACGAGACGAGTTGGAGATGCCCGCAATGACTCTTAGGAAAATTTGTGGTTCCAATGTTGAAAAACCTCAACCAATAAGATTGCATGACTTGAGACATTTTGGAGACTTCATGTCGCAGCTCTGTATAATTCTGACCTAATTGTTCAAATAAAGGTTGCTCAGTTATCCATCAACAGGTAAGATGCTATTGTTTTCCACAGACCCCATTTCAAGAGATCTAAAACCACTTTAATTTGTTTACCTTCGAAGGATTATTTTAATTCRATTTAATGTAGAYGTTTTGGTGCTGAGTTTCACACTTYGCCTTTATTCTGTCTCATGACAGGCAGACAAACTTTGATTCTCGTTCCAATAATCTGCATTTTTTCCTTATTTGATTTTTGCCCTTGAAAGGTTGAAATATTTATTTTACTTTGAAGCCACAGTTTCTCACATTCCCCAGTTTACTACCAAATTTGTCTCCACTCCTTTTGAAATGCGAGTGAAGGTCCTAAATGTGTTTTTTTAAATTATTTTAACCAACAATCTCAGCTCAACACATCAATTCTTTACACAAATTTAAAACTCAGCCATGATTGTAAACCGTTTCACTGATGGCAAAAGAAGTTGAAATTTTGTGTGTGTGTGTGTGTGTGTGTGGAAACGAGGCCATTTTTTGAGCACAGATCCTACATATCCTTTCATCCACGCTCTGGATGACTTTGTGCATTATCCTGCGTTAACGACACGATCTGAGGAAGGATCGGAGTGCGGCGGCAGATTTCTGTAAAGGTCTGCTTTCTGAGAAGATCTGAGACGCCCACTAGAGGTTTTGTGATTTAAATTGGCAACATGATGGTGCCGTCACTCCTGCAGATGTCTTTGAGTGGAAAAGAAAAGTGTAGTTTTTGCTTGGAGGAAAAGAAATGTTGAGGATGCTTTAAATTTTTGTCTATGAAGATGTAAAAATTTACTCTAGCCTTAAACAGAGTGGGGGTTTTTCCTGCTTTTTTGTTTTGTTTTGTTTTTTTTTTTGGCTGGATTAAGGGGAGATTTTTATTTAGACGTCATCAAAATGTACTTCTTCACATGAAAACTGAAATAAAGATACAGTTCTCCTGAAAGAGAAGGTTGGCGTTCCTCATGTTTGTGAGTTCGGAACCTGCAGGGTTTGGTTCTTCGGGTTTACTCTGCAGCAGATGTGGACAGGTTTGTTGTGTTTGAGCCTTATCAGACTAATGTGTGTTGAGTGAGACCAACTTCTGATGGAGATGAAGATCTAATAGTTTTGTTCTCATTTCTTAATTGGTCTCTGCTGTTTTACTTACTGTCTACTCAAACTGTAGCATCTGAGTGTCAAAGAAAACAAAAAACAATTTTGTCCACAAAAAAATTAAATATGACTGTACGATAC